AGCCGAAGGCTCCGGTTGTGGATTCCTCAAGAAAATTCACCTGCCTTGGCCTGGGCAACCGGGCAGTACTCAGCCCACAAGCCAATCGTGGAACATTTTTCTTTTTATAAAGATTATTGTACCATGATTTGTTTGGCACACTGTCTGTCCTCAGACAAGTGTGAAATATATATATATATACCTTTTACCTCGGCCATTCAGCCTCACTGTGAGAAATCAGCATTGAATGAGCTCGCCATTAATGCTTTCATACCTTAGAGTGTTTATGGGATCATGGCATCAACGTTCTGGAGTAAAGGACTGTTGTTCTGTTGACTTTTTTCTCACCACGTTCTTTTCTCAATCTTCTCTAAACTGCGTTCGTGTTCTCGCCATTCACGATCGTTGTGTAAAGATAATTCATTTTTAATTTTTTCATATTGTTCGGTTTCCGTTTTACAGCGTAGTCCAAGTCTGTTTTACGAGTGCTGTATAGCGATTTTCGATGCACTTGAGTACCAAAGGGCAAATGCTATCCAGATCAATCAATTTATGATGATGACCCGCTAGTCATATCCTTTTTACTGTTCCAGCTCAACGTTTAGAAGCTCTCATTCCACGTTCATGCGGACCGGCCCAAAAATCCATGGAATTTCTGACTGCTCTGGGTTCGGGAACTAGTGACCTAGTCCGCGGATTTCGTCCAATATCTGTCAGACTGGACGAACTACCACGTGTGTGTATCGCCTCGGTCGGGTTCGAGATTGTCAGCATGTCCACGAATCCCGTCAGCCCGTCTGTGTTCGCTGTTTGTGGCACATGGGTAAGCGAGGTGTATCCTCTTTATCTGCAATTTTGGGAAGGACAACAGTTTTGAAATTAATCTCTCTCTGCTGGTATCCTGTTTCATGTACGCGGCAATCTTTGGTTTAATGAAGCAGCTTGGGATGTTCGAGGAAACTCGATCGTGGTTCATAAGTATTGTCTGATGCAATATCGGTCCATGTTTCTTTATGTATATATATATATATGCAGTGGCACGCACGCATGCATGCCTGCTCTGATTTTTTCCAAACTGCAGCAAAGTCAACGATGCTCGTACGTACTTTTTTGTTCCTAAAATCATTATCTGGTTTTATAAAAATTGCAGGACTGTGTCGTATTGGGTGTGGTCGGTTCGGGACAAGTCTGTGGCCGCATCCACGTCGTTGCCGCACGTCGAGATCGTACAGAACAGCTGATTAAAGCTATTTGGCTTCCCGATTCAATCAACTTGCTCGCTCTGCTAACCACGCGATCGGTTCAGGTAGGCCAATGTTCACTTCGATTCACACCATAATAATCCAACAATCGTTTCATTTTCCCCGGTAATCTTTTGTTGCCTGTACCCAAGGGATGTATTTTCGTCCCGGTTACCAATGCCTGACGAGCAACGAGAACCGCGGAACCGGTCATGTTCTTCTAGGGAAATTTTTTCGAGTCATTTGTATACTGTCCTATGAGGACGCTCAAGTCACGTTTTCTGCGGTTAATAGCATCCTACTCACCCCTAGAATACATAGTATTGATTCTTCACTTGACTGGCTCTGAAGGATGTGTCCGTATAAAATTACCTGGTGTTGCAAATGAAGTTGTTTAAGCTATTACAGATATGTATTTCATAATAAGTAGTATGTTGATGACTGGACAAAATTTCCTTGGATGCACACGACCGGTTTTGCAGTTCTTGCCGCTCGTCAGGCATGCGTATCCGGTGATGTTTTGCCAGTTCATTCATATACTTGTATCCAGGAAGTGTATTTTCGTCACAACAACCTTGTTTGCAGCACCGGGCTCTTTCAGAGCCAGTCCATTGGAGAATCAATGCTACAATTCGATGTTTTGTAAGCGGGTTAGATGC